ATAGGATAAGCACTGGACTGCAACCACAACGTTGGTGAGTGAAATCTTCTACCGGGTCGCTATGAATTGGAACTGATTCAAACCCTGTACTGGGTTTCCGAGGCTGTAAATCTTTATGGGAGCAGAAAGTCTCATCTTTCTCCCGCGGAGCGGCTGGTAGTTTCGAACTGCTGACCTTGCGGTTTGCAGCCCGATCCGTAACCACTATGCTACCAGAGCTCCATGGTCTTATCTCCTTGCAATAAAGTTAGGCTCAAGTCTTTTGTGAAGGCAGGTAGTGTTTGACTAGCACATTATGATTCAGATAAACAGTTGTGAAATGCAAATGTGAGAACCAGCTGCTGGGGTGATCCATCTTCAAGGGTATCTTGGGGGTAATAGGCTGTTATGACAAAAGGGACCGATGAGAAGAGGAAGAGACTTGAAGAGACACAGTCCAATTCATAACCACTATGCTACCAGAGCTCCTTGTTGTTAAATACCATCAAGTCCGTTCTGATAACGACCCTATAGAGGGTTTTTGAGGCTGTATGTTTGTGGGAGCTGAAATCCTCCTCTTTTGCCCCTGGACTCAAACCACCCACCTTGTGGTTTACAGCTTATTGTATGGAAGAGCCCCGCTCCCTTATTAAGTCTTGTTGTTGTTGTGAAGTGCCCTCGAGTTGTTTGGATGTAGGGTTTCTAAAGAGCAACGGGTGAGTTTGAACCACCAACCGTGGGATTCAAACTGACCACACAGTCCAGTGCTTATCCTACTGCAAGAGTATATACACGACAAACACAGATCACCCTGGCCAGGGAAAACATAGATGCTGTGATGAATTTCCAAAATTCTACCTCCACGTGGTGGTGGGTGACCTTTTAGAGAGCACAGAGAACAAAGGAATCGCCTCCCACAACCACGACTGAAGGCAGTAGTGTACCACATACACAAGCGGGGCCTACTCAGAGTTGTTGTTGTTAAGTGACCCCATGCAGGGTTTCCGAGGCTGTAAATCTTTACCGGAGCAGAAAGTCTCATTTTTCTCCCATGGAACAGCTGGTAGTTTCGAACTGCTGACCTTGCGGCCCACAGCCCAATTCATAACCGCTACGCTACCAGAGCCCCTCTACTGAAAGTTGTTGTTGTTAAGTGCCGTGGAGTCAGTTCCGACTCATAATGACCCTGCACAGGGTCTCTGAGGCTGTTAATCTTTACGGGAGCAGAACGCATCTTTCTCCCGCGGAGCAGCTGGTAGTTTCGAACTGCTGACCTTGCTGTTCACAGCCCAATTTGTAACCACTAAAACTCTGGTAGCGTAATGGTTACGAATCGGGCTGCGAACCTTAAGGTCAGCGGTTCGAAACTACCAGCCGCTCCGCGGGAGAAAGATGAGGCTTTCTACTCCCGTAAAGATTTACACCCTCGGAAACCCTGTACAGGGTCGCTATGGGTCGGAACCGACTTGACGGCACTTAACAACAACAACATGCTACCAGAGCCCCTCTACTCAAAGTTGTTGTTGTTGTTGTTGTAGGGAGGCACTATTGCAGATAAGAAAGCCTACAGTCTCTGAGGCTCTCCTGGTATGACATCACAACCAAGCGACCATTAGGGTGTGTCCAGGAATGCTCCTATGAGGGCCAGCTGGAGGAAGTGTTCCCAAACCCACTTTTGAATATATTCTCCTCCTAACTCCGGCAATTCAGGAGGTACTTAAAGAAAAACTGGCAGCTGGACACTTCAACTTAGGTACAAGGTGGAATTAGGGTCTTCTTAACTGGAATTGTTCACAGGCAGAAAAAAAACCCCAAAGCTTTCAGAGATCATGCTCTACTGGAACACTGTGGGTTAATGCGCAGGACTGCAAAGTCAGTTTGCACTGCAAGGTTGATGGTTCAAGCTCACCAGGTGCTCCTTGTAGGTGGGAAATATCTGTATATAAAGACAGACTGCGGCCCTTATTGAATTGACAGCCTAGTCAAGGGATAGACACAGAACACAGGAAAGAAGCTCTATGGTATTGCAGAGCTGTTGTCGCTAAGTGCCATCCAGTCAATTCCGACACGGCGACCCTGCATAGGGTTTCCAAGGAGCGACTGGTGGGTTTGAACTGCTGACCTTTCAGTTGGCAGCCCAGAGCTTACCCTCCAGCTCCACATTGTGTTAGACTGTGATAAACACAATTTGAAGGAGCGATGAGGCTGCTGAGATTTGGAGAGACAGGACATTTTATTACAATAAGGGTTAGTGTTGCTGTTTAGTGCCATCAAGTCAGTCCTGACTCATAGAGCCCCTGTATAGGGTTTCCAAGGAGAGGCTGGTGCCCACCTTGCAATTCAAACTGACCTTGTGGTCCAGTGCATTATCCTGCAGCGCCACGCCAGGACCCCACAATAAGTCAGGACCATTGAGCAAACACATGAAGAAGGTGAGGGATGAGCAATGTGGGTATTTGTGGAATTCGTTCCAGGCTGAAGAAACAGGTTTCATCTATGAAAACTTTGGATCAGTCTGATGTTTGATGCATTTCCCCGGCACCTACTTTCCTTGCTTTTCCCCCACTGCTTTCTCCATCAGACCCTCTACAAACACATTAAACTTCTTCTAGTTCTTTGGCTCCCACATGGGCCTTCTCAACTCAGTATACTTGCCAGCAAAAAACAAAAGAGTAGCAAGAGTGTAAAAGAGACGCGCATGCTCACCAGGACCAGGATGGTGCATGTGGCCCTGGCCTCATGGGACGCTCTGGGGGAGAGGCTGTCGCTATGATGCTGCATCCGTGCAGGATCAGGACCATGAAACCGCTCGACTTGCCCAGCGCGCGAGTCCCAGGCACATAACATCATTGGTGATGAGTGCATTTACTAAACATCTATCAATCTCTCTGGAATATTCCAGGTACAATAACCCAAGAAAATTTCATGCTTACGTTTCTGTTCTTCCGTGGGCTGGTCATTCTCATGGAATGTGAGCATTGACTAAGAGATGCAGGCTCCAACAGCAGAGGACAATGCCCTTTGGGGATCTCATTCTTTTCTCTATCCGTCTACCAATCCTGGGGCAAAGTTTAATGGTCTGGAAGCCACTCAGGAAGCAGGACACACACACACCCCTTACTTGGTGTAAAAAGAAAGCAACTCTACATCCAAAGTCACCCAGGAAATACTTCAATCCAAAAGCTGCCAAGATCTGAGAGAAGCACCAAGGGGTTGGCTATGACCTGCTGGTGGAGAATCAAGTCTGTGTGCCTCAGTGTGAGACCAGTCTTCAGAGTGAAGTTATAAAGACAAAGGAGAAAGGATTTTCCAAGGATCCCAGCTCCAGTTTGAGTCAGGATGATGATACCCAAGTTTAGGCTAATTAAGGACATTTGTTCACCTAATTTTGAGAGAATAACTGAAAGTAGAGACGACCAGAAAGATGTTTACCTGTGCTTTATTGACTACGCAAAGGCTTTTGGTTGTGTGGATCATGACAAGCTATGGACAACATTGTGAATATGAGTATTCCAGAACACTTAATTGTGCTCATGAGGAATCTGTACCTGGACCAAGAGGCAGTTGTTAGAACAGAACATGGGAACACTGGATGGTTTAAAATGAAGAAAGATGTACAACAGGGTAGTATTCTTTCACCATACTTATTCAACCTGTATGCTGAGCAAATAATCCGAGAAACTGGGTTCTATGAAAAAAAATGTGGCATCAGGATTGGAGGAAAACAACCTGCGATATGCAGATGATACAACTTTGCTTGCTGAAAGATAAGAGGACTTAAAACATTTACTGGTGAAGATCAAAGAGTACAGCCTTCAGTACGGATTACATCTCAATGCAAAGAAAACAAAAATCCTCACCACCGGACTAATAAACAACATTCTTATCAATGGAGAAAAGATTGAAGTTGTCAAGGACTTCATTCTTCTTGGATCAACTATCAACACTCACAGAAGCGACAGTCAAGAGATCAGATGACGTATTGCATTAGGCAAATCTGCTGCACAGGAACTTTTTTAAGTATTGAAGAGCAAAGATGTCAGCTTGAGGACTAAGGTGCACCTGACCCAAGCCATGGTATTTTCAATAACCTCATATGCACGCGAAAGCTGGACAGTGAATAAGGAAGACCATAGAAGAATTGATGCTTTTGAGTTCTGGTGTTGGAGGAGAATATTGAAAAGTGCCATGGACTGCCAAAAGAACCAATAGATCTGTTATGGAAGAAGTGCAGCCAGAGTGCTCCTTGGAGGCCAAGATGGCCAGACTTTGTCTCTCATACTTCATGTTTGGTAAGGTGGAGGGTCAGAGAAAAAGAGGAAGACCCCCAACGAGATGGATTGGCCAAGTGGCAGCATCGATGGGCTCAAGCGTGGCAACAGTCGTGAGGTTGGCCCAGGATCGGGCAGTGTTTCATTCTGCTGTGCATAGGGTCTCTATGAGTCGGTATGGACTCGATAGCACCTAACAACAACAATAGTGGTCAATCCTGGGAAGGTGCACACCAAGCACAGGGCAGACAGAAACTTAAGAACAGACAAAAGTATCAAAGCCAAGTTGAAACACCTTACCCAGGAAATACAGATCAACTTGGACAAAAGTAACAGACCTCTGGAGTAGGAACTAAGGCAAAGGAACTCCTCAGGCTCTGGGGGGAAATCTCAAAACAACCAAGCTTGTTTCACCACAATTACATTCGCAGGTCCACATTCAAGGGGAGGGGATTCTACAGGGTGTGTTCTCATAAACATACAGTATGTTGTACAGTAGCTAAACCAGGGAAGAGGATCATTGCCGTATGTTGTTGTTGTTAACTGTTGTCAAGTCAGTTCTGATTCATAGAAACCCTGTATAGGGTTTCCGAGAAGCAGCTGGTGGGTTTGAACCGCCAACCTTGTGGTTCGCAGTCCAGTCCTATAGCACCATACACCAGAGGCCCACGAAATAATTTGGTCTGGCCCTGCCAAGGCAACCACAATTCCAGCCCTCACATTTGTTGTTGTTAATGCTGTCATGTCCATTCCGACCCATAGTGACCCTGTATAGGCTTTCCAAGGAGTGGCTGGTGAGCTTGAACCGCCGACCTTGAAGTTCAAAGCAACCTTGCGGTCCAGTGCATTAACCCACAGCGCCACACCAGGACTCCACTGCTGTAGCTGTCATTAACTGCTGTTGAGTCAAATCCAACCCATAGTGACCCTATATAAGGTTTCCAAGGAGCAACTGGTGAGCTTGAACTGCTTGACTTACAGTGAATTAATTAAATGTTTAACCAAATAGAGCAGGCTAATTTTTAAGTTGATAATTTTGTATGGCCCACAAATGATGTTAATAAATTTTGGCAGAAAAAAGGTTCCCCACCCCTGAGTTAAACAAAAACAAAAGTAGGAATCCTGCAAGCTGCTAATGACCAGATGTCTTCCCACAATTCTCAGTGGAGTCCTCAGTTATGGAGGAGTGTTGGAACCTGACTTTCTCTATTTTCTAATTAAGTTATAGTTATTCATGAACTATGAGAGCTAAGAAGCAAGTATTTCTATATGCAATATGTTTATTTTCTGTTATAAACGTCTGGTTTCTGTTATTCAGAATGTTCTTCTACCCGGCTCTCTGAGGGTAAGCCATGTGTGAGCGCTCCACGTTGCTTAGCGTGTCTTGTGTCTCTTTTATGTGCACTCACAACTGTCCCGTTTTTGCATGGTGCGTGGCGCTCTGTGTTTTCGTCTCCTTTACTGATTTTTGGTTTTCACTCAATTTCTTCTTTTCAATAATTTTCTTCCTTTTTGATTTAATAACTGAAATGTAGAACATAATGTTAATGAGCTTACCACCAGGAATAGAAATGGAAATCGAAAGAGTGAGGAGAAAAGTTTGGGGAAAATAAAGGTACATACAGTGAAATTTAGCAGGCAGTGATAAATGGTATTTCTTTGACAAGGATGGTGAAACTTGAATTTTCAAACTATCTTCCCACTTTCTGCATTCAAACTTTATAAATGTCTTAGTCTGATGTCATATTTGTTTTGACATCTCTAGTTTCCTCGTAAGAAAAATGGAGCTAAGAAGAACATGTAGGAAAGGAATAATCCAGAGAGATGAGAAGACATTCTACTGGGAACAATAAAGGCCACCTGCCTCAACAAGCAGATACTCTCTTCTACTCTTGGGCACTCCTCCGTTTTCTCTTTGTGCCTCCAGTTGTTAGGGAGGAAATCCATGCCAGGGAAACTTAATAGGATGGAATCTGATACTGCACTTTCTATGTACTTTTGGGCTAGAATTTTCTAAACAGGTACCCAGGAATATCACAGCTCTTCCACTGAATCCGGTTTATATTAGCGTCTATATTGCCCTGGTAGCGTAGTGGTTACGAATCGGGCTGCGAACCTTAAGGCCAGCAGTTCGAAACTACCAGCCGCTCCGTGGGAGAAAGATGAGGCGTTCTGCTCCCATAAAGATTTACAGCCTCGGAAACCCTGTACAGGGTCGCTATGGGTCGGATCCGACTCGATGGCACTTAACAACAACAATATTGCCCTTTCCTCACCGAAAATGCAGAAAACACCCATGAAAAGCATCTCTTGGATAGAGGAGGTAGTGAGTTCTGATGTGTGGGTTTGGATCTTGTTTCCGCATCAAACTCCACCAGTGGGTATAGATGGAACATATGCTAAACTATGTTCTAAATGCAGGGGTCCCTGGTGGTGCAGTGCTTAAAGCACTGGGCTGCCAAACAAAAGGTCAGTGGTTTGAACCTACCAGCTGCTGCTGGGCAAAAGCCATCATAGTTGACTTCCATGAAGAATTACAACCATGGAAACCCCAGACAGTTTCACTCTGTTCTACAGGGTCGGTGTGAGTCAGAATCCACAGAGGTCAGTGAGTCTGGGGTTCTAAATGCAGGAACCCTAAGTCACTTGGTACTGTCCAGACTGTTATTAATGGTGACCCCATGTCTTATAGCGTAGAAGTGCTCCGGAGGTTTCTGAGCTGTCCTGGTGTGACTCTATAGGATAAACCCTGCACTGCTAACCACAAGGTCGGCAGTTCAAATCCAGAAGCTGCTCCTCAGAAACCTTATACAGGGTCACTATGAGCTGCAAACGACAACAGCACTTAACAACGGCAGCAGCCTTATGATGCAGGTCACTGTGCCTTCCTGTGTGTAGTACACCACGGGGTGTACAAAGCACCCACCTTGAGGCTGGTGTTCACTGTCGTCCAGTGCTGTTACATCAAGGCCCATTTCGGTTAGCAGCCTTTAACCTACAGTGCTGATCCTGCCGCTGCACACCGGGACTCTCTTTGGATTAATTTGCTGTTGCTAGTGCTATGGAGTCGGTTCCGACTCACAGCGACCCTGTATAAGGTTTCCAAAGAGCACCGGTGGGGTTTGAACCGCTGGCCTTGTGGTCAGCAATCCTGTGCTTATCCTAAAGTGCCACACCAGGAGTGAAAAACATTAGTGCCCCTCAGGGACCCTTAACCAGGAACACCACCATGTTAACAAGGATGTTTAAGGGAAATGTTCTGTCCAGGAAACAGTTCATTTCCTCAACTCCACTTTGTTGTTGTGAAGGGCCATCAAGTTGGTTCTGACTCATAGCAACCCTAAATAGGGTTTCTAAGGAGTGGCTGGTGGGTTTGAACTGCCAACCTTGTGGTTAGCAGCCCAGCACTCATCCTACAGTGCCATACCAGGACGCCATTTAAGTTTATTTTAAATTGTCCTACAGAAGGCACCAAGCAACCTGATTGCTATTTGTCCTTTTGTATAATTGGATGAAAATGACTTTTTTTTTCTATTATTGTTGTTATGTGCCGTGGAGTCGGTTCCGACTCATAGCAACCCTGTACAGGGTTTCTGAGGCTATAAATCTTTACAGGAGCAGAAAGCCTCATCTTTCTCCCACGGAACAGCTGCTAGTTTCAAACTGCTGACCCTAAGGTTCGCAGCCTGATTCGTAACCACTACGCTACCAGAGCTCCTTTTTGTGTATAGGACTGGCCATAAATCTTAACTTTCCTTACCTCAAACACTATTCATTCCCAATTAGTTTACCCTTTGAAAAGCAAACCATGATTGTTAGCTTTGTGTGACTTCACATCTGACCGTTAGACTGGGAGGTCCTCTACCTGAATGAATGAACCCTTCAAGTTCCTTCTCATTCTCCGGAAGCAGGTAGGTAGATTCGGTCTGCCCCTCATCCTCGGCACCCTCTTCTTCATCTCCTAATAACGGTATCCTGACGTTCTTATAAAGCAATGCAAGTTTTTGTCTTTCCTCGGCCTGGACCAGACGGCTGGAGAGTACAACAGATGAATTTAGGAGCACAATGTTCATCGTAAATCTTTATACCTTAACGATGTGATCTTTTGACTGGAAATGAGTCACTTGTACAAGGTGGTAGGTAGGGGAGGGAGGCAGAACTAGACTTCTAAACAAAGATGGCTACAGTCACACTCAGGTGTCCACATCACTGATGGCTATAGTCACTCTCAGGTGTTTATGTCACCGATGGCTAGTCACTGTTAGGCATCCACATCACTGATGGCTATAGTCACTCTCAGGTGTCTACGTCAATGATGTCTACAGTCACTCTCATGTGTCTACGTCACTGATGGCTACAGTCACTCTCGGGTGTTTATGTGGACAGGCAGGAAAGGTGCTGGTTGTTAAACGCCATCGAGTTGGTTCCGACTCACAGTGACCCTGTCTAGGGTTTCTAAAGAGCAGCTGATGGGTTTGAACCACCGATCTTGTGGTTAGCAGTCCAGCACTTATCCTACAGTGACACTCTAGGAGTCCAAGACGTAGCTCTAATAATTCCCAAGACTGGATCACAGCCAGGACTGGGATGAGGAGGCACTTGTGTCAAATACAAGATTTAAGGGGCTGACAAAAAAACAGCTATAAGTTAGATAAATAATTTATACTAGTCAGTAATATCCATAAAATTTTCAGTGACTAAATATTCAGAAGTAGTTTATCTACCTTCTTCTTAGTCTAGAAACTCAGCTGAAACCCGTCCACCATGGGTGACCCTGTTGGTTTAAAATATCCATCCGTGGCGTACCTTCCAAAATCACTACAACATTCAAGCCACCACAGTACCACACACTGACAGACAAGTGATGAACTGAAGAAATACCTCAAGCCTCGACTTGAAATATTGAAGGATTCTACAGGCAAAATATTGAATGATGCAGAAAGCATCAAGAGAAGATGGAAGGAATACACAGAGTTACTGTACCAAAAGGAAATGGTTAATTTTCAACCATTTCAAGAGGTAGCATATGATCAAGAGCCAATGATACTAAAGAAAGAAGTCCAACGTACACTGAAGGCACTGGCAAAGAACAAATCTCTGGGAATTGATGGAATACAAATTTAAATCCTTCAGTAAACTGACGCAGTACTGGAGGCACTCACTCATCTTTGCCAAGAAATTTGGACGACAGCTACCTGTCCAACTGATTGGGAAAGATCTATATTTGTGCCCATTCCAAAGAGATGTCACCCAACAACAGAATGCAGAAGTCATCGGACAATATCATTAATATAACAGGCAAATAAAATTTTGCAAAGATAATTCAGAAACCGCTGCAGCAGTACATTGACAGGGAATTGCCAGAGGTTCAGGCCGGATTCAGATGAGGACGTGGAACAAAGGATATCATTGCTGATGTCCGATGGATCTTGGCTCAAAGCAGAGAATACCAGAAAGATGTTTACCTGTGCTTTATGGACTATGCAAAGGCTTTTGATTGTGTGGATCATGACAAGCTATGGACAACATTGCAGAGAATGAGTATTCCAGAACACTTAATTGTGTTCATGAGGAACCCTTGCATAGACCAAGAGGCAGTCATGCAAACGTAACAGGGGACACTGAATGGTTTAAAATTAGGAAAGGTATGTTCCAGGGTTATATTCTTTCATTCAATCTGTATGCTGAGCAAATAATGAAAGATGGACTGTATGAAGAAAAACGTGGCATTAGGATTGGAGGAAGACTCATTAACAACCTGCAATATGCAGATGATACAACCTTGCTTGCTGAAAGTGAAGAGGATTTAATATACTTATTGATGAAGATCAAAGATCACAGCCTTCAATATGGGTTGCACCTCAATATAAAGAAAACAAAAATCCTCATTATGGACCAATAAATAACACCAAGATAAACAGAGAAAAGATTGAAGTTGTCAAGGACTTCATTTTGCCCGGATGAGCCATCAACGCTCTTGGAAGCAGCAGTCAAGATATTAAATGTCGTATTGCATTAGGCAAATCTGCTGCACAAGATGTCTCTAAAGTGTTGAAGAGCAAAGATGTCTGTTTGAGAACTAAGGTGCGTCTGACACAAACCATGGAATTTCAATAACCTCATATGCATGCAAAAGTTGGACAGTGAATAAGTTATGGTGTTGCAGGAGAATATTGAAAGTACCATGGACTGCCAAAAGAACAAACAGATCTGTGTTGGAAGACGTACAGCCAGAGAGTGCTCCTTGGAAGCTAAGATGGACACACTTCATCTCTCATACTTAGGACATATTATCAGAGGGACTAGGAGAAGGGCATCAAGTTTGGTAAGTGGAGGGTCAGAGAAAATGAAATGGATTGATTGGCACAGTGGCAGCAGCAATGCGCTCAGGCAGGGCAGTAATTGTGAGGTTGGCATAGGACTGGGCACTGTTTGGTTCTGTTGTGCAGAGGGTCGCTCTGAGTCGGTACTGACTAGATGGCACCTGACAACAATAATTGAGTTTCTTTTAGAACATCACATTTTGGGAGGGACACTGGGTCCCCCCAAAAAATGTTTGAGTCTAGTGTCTCAAACAGTGATTTTCAAACATTTTTGACCATGACCCACGGCAAGAAATACCTTTACATAACAACTACAGGTGGACATGTTTGTGAAAAGTTTAAAAATCAGGATTCACTTTACTATATGTAATGCTTCCTGATATCGTCTAGGCTCCTACACTGTCTTCTGTTCTGTTTTGTTTTTGTTTCTTTGATGTCAAGACCCAACTCACGAAATGTATAACAACTACAATCATTTTACGATTATAATGATCATCATCACCCTTTGAACTAAATAATGCCTTCGTTAATTTATTATATCTTCCCAAAAAATAGTAGGTGGTACATAGAGCACATACTTACCGTACCACATAGAAAACAGCGATCCCACTTAGCAGAGCAGTGCTGATGGCTATGCACGCAGCTACCATAACCCGGACAAGAGCAGGTCTATGTGGAATCATGCCTGACATTGGGGGAGAAAAAGAAGTTCTCATAGCATTGCATTTTGATAGTGTCTAAGGAGCTCAGGATGTCAGCTTGAGGACTAAGGTGTGCCTGACCCAAGCCATGCTATTTTCAATAACCTCATATGCATGCGAAAGCTGGACAGTGAATAAGGAAGACCATAGAAGAATTGACGCATTTGAGTTATGGTGTTGGAGGAGAATATTGAAAGTGCCATGGGCTGCCAAAAGAACCAACAGATCAGTGTAGGAAGAAGTGCAGCCAGAGTGCTCCTTGGAGGCTAGGATGGCCAAACTTTATCTCTCATACTTCAGACATATTGTCAGGAGGGAACCAGTCAGTGGAGAAGGATATCATGTTTGGTAGGGTGGAGGCTCAGAGAAAAAGAGGAAGACCCCCAACGAGATGGATTGGCCAGGTGGCAGCATCGATGGACTGAAGCGTGGCAACAGTAGTGAGGTTGGCCCAGGATTGGGCAGTGTTTTGTTCTGCTGTGCATAGGGTTGCTATGAGTTGGTACGGACTCGATGGCACCTAACAACAACAACAAGGAGCTCTGGTTGTATAGTGGTTACAAATTGGGCTGCTAAGCTCATGGTTAGCAGCTCGAAGCTACCAGCTGTTCTGCGGGAGAAATATGAGGCTTTCTGCTCCCGTAAAGATTTACAGCCTCGGAAACCCTGTGCAGGGTCGCTGTGGGTCAGAACTGACTCCATGGCACATAACCTGGTGGTGCTGTGGGTTAGGTGTTTGGCTGCTGACCACTAGGTCATCAGTTCAAACTTACCAGTCACTCCATGAGAAAGATGAGGCTGTTCCCATCTTTACACTTTCAGAAACCCTGTAGAGGGTCACACTGAGTTGGAATGGATTCAATGAGAGCAGGTTTGGTTTGGGGTTTATCAGTTACCTTGCTAATCATTGTTATTTCAAAGGGGAATGGGTGTTAAAAGACAAAATGGAAAAAATAGTATTTTTAAAGTTTAAAAAAATTACTGAGGCTAGATTTCTTAGTCTGTGTGAAGAAATAAAACTTGAATTTGCACCTAAGCCTTGCACCCTTTTCTCATCCACTTCCTGTCCTCGGACAAGGTCTTATTGTACCGTGAGACCCTTCAGTGTAACAGCAGCCATCTATGTTGTTAGAATGAGAGTGGTTTTCAGTCTTTGAATCCAGAATTACCCTGGCTGCTTCAAGGTGTGTGATATTGTAGTGATTCCACGAACCTGTGTCCCTAAACCAAAAAAACCAAACTAATTGCTGTTGACGCCTGGCAGCTGCCGTGTGTCAGAATAGAACTATAATCCAAAGAGATTTCATGGCTGAGTTCTTCCAAAGTACAATATCAGGCCTTTCTTTGAGGAACCTATGGGTAGGTTTGAACTGCCAACTGTTTGGCTAGTAGTCAAGCACTTAATGGTTTGTGGTACCCAGAGATTCCAAACCTGAGTCCCATGTGCCGGATCTTAGTTCTACAGAATGAGCTATAAAAATGTGGTTGTTCATTGTCAGCTCGGGTTTATGCTCCTCCTCCTTCGTGGGTTCTGAAATTAAAGACAACAACATAAAGCAGTTATTGTTTGTATACATTGAACTAAGAGCAACAGACAAAGTACCTACATTGTTCCACCACTTTTAACATCTGACAAATTGAGGGGTCCCTGGTCCCCTACTTGGCAGAGATGATGCATTTGAGTTATGGTGTTGGAGGAGAGTATTGAAAGTGCCATGGGCTGCCAAAAGAACCAACAGATCTGTGTTGGAAGAAGTGCAGCCAGAGGGCTCGTTGGAGGCCAAGATGGCCAAACTTAGTCTCTCATACTTCGGACGTATTGTCAGGAGGGACCAGTCGCTGGAGAAGGATATCATGTTTGGTAAGGTGGGAGGGTCAGAGAAAAAGAGGAAGACCCCAATGAGATGGATTGGCCAAGTGGCAGCATCAATGGACTCAAGTGTGGTCACAGTAGTGAGGTTGGCCCAGCATCGGGCAGTGTTTCGTTCTGCTGTGCATAAGGTTGCTATGGGTTGGTACCGACTCGATGGCACCTAACAACTACAACAAGTACTTGACCTTCCCTCACCATCTGTCCTTTCACTGGTACATCAGAAAGGGTTCCTTTGACTGAGTGGAAATGCCCTGAGGGTCACCCCGGGGAGAAAATCCGCCTGGCTAATGAAAACCATCTGGACTGTGGGAAAGGAAGATGCTTAATTGTAGACTTTTAGGTGGGCAGGAGGATCACACTTTGTTATGAAACATTTTGAGCTGAAATCTGGAATTTTAGTGTGGTTTCAGTAAGCATCTCTCTTTCTATAGGATCAAAAGCTAAGGGTTCCAGGAGAAACCTAGTCTGCAAGACTAATAGTCTACAGGAGACATGGCCTCCACGACCCTGAGACCAGAACTAGATGGTGCTCAGTTTCCACTACCAGTCATTCTGGTCAGAACCACAATAGATGGATCCTGATAGAATGGGGAAAATGTAGAACAAAATCTCAAATTAAAAAAAACAACAACACAAAAAACCCCAGACTTATTAGACTGGTTGAGATTGAAGTACTTTTTGAAATTATTGCCCTGAGATCCTCTTTAAACTGAAGTGAAAGTAGCCTCTGAGGTCACTGTTTACCTAAATAACAAATACTGAATAATAAAATAAAGTACTGTGCTCCTTTTATAACATATCTCTATGAGACCAAGTGGTCAGTGATTAATAAAAACAAAAATGAGAAGCTAAGCCGGTAGGGAAACTAGATTATTGGAAATGGAACAACCAGAACAGAAATAAGGAGAGTCCATGCATTGTGAAGAATGCAACCATTTATGTAGACATTGCTGAGTGGGAACCTAAACTGCCATGCAAATAAACTTTCATTAAAAAACCCAACAATAAAACCAGCAGCAACACACACACACAAAACACCCAAAAACATACACACAGCAAAAAGACAGCAATCAATTCATACCTATTGATAATTACACTGAATGTAAATGGATTAAATGTACCCGTCAAGAGACAGAGACAGCAGAATAGATAAGAAAACAGGATCCTTCAATATGCTGTCTGCAAGAAACACATCAAAAAGATAGAGACATTCTCCCACGTAAACTATCACATAATTCACAATAAAACACTTTTTTGAAAAAAGATAGCCAGTCTAAATGCTCAATCAAGATGGCAGATCGGGTAGACGTGAAGAGAGGAGCTGGAGAAGGATATCATGTTTGGTAAGGTGGAAGGTCAGAGAAAAAGAGGAAGACCTCCAACGAGATGGATTGGCCAAGTGGCAGCATCGATGGAGTCAAGCATGGCAACAGTAGTGAGGTTGGCCCAGGATCGGGCAGTGTTTCGTTCTGCCGTGCATAAGATCTCTATGAGTCGGTACCGACTCAATGGCACCTAACAACAAATGCTCATCAACAACAGAAGAATGGTGAAACAAACTTTGGTACATACACACAGTGGAATACCACACAATGTTGAAAAGTGATGATGAATCTGTGAAAGACCTCACAACACAGATGAACCTGGAGGACACTATGTTGAATGAAATTAGTGAATCACAAAAGGGCAAATATTGTATGAGAACAATGTTGTAAAAAGTCAGGAAATGATTTTCTTGATGAAAGAAACAATCTATGATGGCTCTAGGGGTAGGGAGTGGGGGAGAGGAAAGGGAAAATTATTCATGGACTAAAGAGTAGACACTCATTAGCATAGGTGACAGGGCAGGAAATATACAACAAGAGGGAGGTTAGCAGAGGAAAGATGAAGGCATCAGGAGACACAGGGAGGAATGCAATAGTTACAGTGACCCGAGGTAAACACCGTTAACTGTTGGTACACGGAAGGGATTGTAATCATTGTAATGAAGCAAAGTATATGATCTGTTGACTGTAAAATTGATGATTTTCCTGGTAAACCTTCACTCAATTCATAATAAGAACTTTTAAAAACACATATAATAAAATACAATTAAAAAGAAAAATGGAGTTTTTCAGGGAGCTGATCAAATGATCCCCTTTGTCTGCATATGGAGATGCACGTGTTGGACCTGCAGCTGGAGGTGGCAGAGGTCTCAGAGAACCTCTAATGAAAGCTCCCCAGACAAGTTCGTGTCAGGTACAGACTAGAATCCATGTCATCAGACAGCCCAGACAGGACTGGAAGTCTGCTGGCTAGAAACAGTACGAATGGGTGAGGGAAATGTTCACAGGACAGCTTGGGATGGATGAGGATGAGTGGAAAGTTGTGTCTAACTCATAGCAGACACTTAACAAGTGTGCCTAGGCGAGGGAAGGCTCCTTTGGGTGGGAGGAGCAACAAGACAAAGGTTCAAAGGCCTCCTAATCAAGTGGTCTTGAGGGAGGTTCCAGGAGAAAAAGCTGAGCAGACAAGCGACTAGAAAGACCACCCACAGAGTTGATGTATCTAATAATGCATTTTGTGAGTTTGATAAAGGAATATCAAATTCAGTCTGTTTTGTTTACTAAAATGTGAGTCATCGGAGCTATGCTATTTTCCAATCTGCCCCAAGTGGCATAATTACAAATCCAACTGTCCAGAGGGGGCACCTTTTTTCTAATTGGCGAAAAGGTGCTGTATAGAGTAGTAGAGGATCCCTGGTAGTGCACTGGTTAAACGCTGGACCGATAGCCTCAAGGTTTGTGGTTTTTAGTCAACATGGGACAGCCCACAGAAGAAAATTATGGCCATCTGAGCTCAAAAATTGTTATTCATTAGTAGCGTCGAGTTGGTTCCAACTCAAAGTGATCCTTTATAATGTTTCTACGAGCAGCTGGTAGGTTTGAACCACCAACCTTGTGATTAGCAGTCCATATTACAACGTTGGAAACGCTATGGGGCAGTTCTACTCTGTCTTAAAGGCTTGCTGTGAGTTGGAAGCAACTTAATAGCAACAACAACATAGGGTAGTTACAGCCACCTGTCACCCTCTGCAGTCACTTTGTCCAAGGATGCTCACCCCCTCTCCCAGATCCCCTGACTCACCATGATGCTCCAAGAAGTATGCAGGAGCCTGAACTAGAAGACCTTTGAAGGGGATCAGAAAGAAGAGACAGAGTTAAGATAAGTTTAGGAAAATAACTTGCTCTTTAAACAAGGGGATCTAGGGAGTAGTTTCCTAACAGCTAAGATGATGCATGTTAATAAACGTATCCAATGGCTAGCATGGATGTTGTAAGGCCCCATCAAGTCCATTCTGATTCATTGTGGTCCCGTGTGTGTAGCATTAACTGATCCTTGAGGTTTCCAAAGTTGTTACCTTTTGGGAGCACATCACCAGGTCTGCTTTCCAAGGCACCTCTGTTGTTGAGTGCCACCGAGTCGATTCCGACTCATAGCAACCCTGTATAGGGTTTCCGAGGAGAGGCTGGTGAATTTGAACTGCTGATCTCGGGGTTCAAACTGACCTTGCAGGTCCAGTACATTACCCCACAGTGCCACGCCAGGACTCCAAGGTGCCTCTAGGTAAACTCAGATTGCCAGCCTTTTGACTAGTAATCAAGTGCTTAATTATTTGCACCACCCAAAGACTCCTCCTAGTAGAAAAAACGAGACTTGATTTGCCAAAGCCTGGCATTCTGTTTGCATCCAGTGTCTCCCTGCATGAATATATGAACTGTGAATAACAGATTTAATTTTGTTCCTGGTCTACCTTTACAGTCACCTGGGCGGGAATGCTTCTTCCCTAGCTGGGAAACTGGAAAAAATTAGAGCAGACTGAAAGGGGCTCTGGGAGTTCTGGCATGGTGCTGCGGGTTAATGCGCTGGACTGCAAGGTCACTTTGAACTGCATAGTCGGCAGTTCAAACTCACCAGCAGCTCCTCGGAAACAGGAGTGTCCTCATCAGGTCAGACAGCTGGTGCCAAGGAGGGCCAACAGCAGTGTCTCCTCCTCAAACATGAACTAGAGACAATAAATTGTGCAGAAGGGACTCTGGAGCACAGCGGTTAAATCGGGGTTACTAAGTGAAAGGCCAGGGGTTCGAACTCAGCAGCTGTTCTGTAGGAGAAAGTTGTAGCAATCTATTTCTGTAAATATTACAGCCTTGGACACCCTACGAAGCCGTTCTACTCTGCCCGCCCTTCAGGGTCAGTGTGAGTCGTAATTGGCAATGGGTCATAGGTCATAGTGTGCATGGCATCTCCCTTGTATATAACTGAGATTGTTTACAAACACCACATAGCTTCCCAAAGGGCTGCCACTGACTTTATAAATTGTCCGGGGTGATTCCTGTGTTTTAAGATGAAATTTCCTCCAGTACAAATTGACAAACAAAACTTAGAAACCAAGTGGTGAAAAAAGAAAGCTTTACACTTGCAAAGCCTCTTTGTCTGGACTCCTCTTTTCTATCACCGAAACCTGTGTATCAGATGACAATGAGAGTCAGACAGCCACATTCATCTGACCTGGTCGGAGGCAAAACTTTTGTGTGTGCTAACAAAAGCGAAATGAAGGAAAAACAGCTGCAGTCTCTAAAAGGGAGGCCAATGCAGCGTTACTGTGATGGAGAAGTGTAGGGTCTCATCTCCAAGCAAACACTGATCTAATCCTTCTATTTCATGGACCATAATGCTAACAAGGAGTCCTGGTGTGGCCCTGTGGGTTAATGCGCTGGACCGCAGGTGTGTGGTTCAAACCCATCAGCCGCCCCTCAGAAACCCTATATAGGGTCGCTATGAGTCAGAACCACTCGACGGCGCTTCACAACAACGTTAACACATGCACTAAGGCACAGTCACCAAACAGATCCAAAGACTAGAGAGGAGAATTCTCACTCTACTGACTGTGGATAAATAGATTTACCTGTGTGTCGTGAAGACTTTCTTTGAGTCAGAGGCACTTGAGTTCTGTGCAATGAGGAGACAATGGGATGTTTGTTGCCATTTACAGATATCTGTGACACTTTATTGCCTTGAAAAGAAAACTTGTAGTAGTGAAATATAATTTCTCTCTAGGAGTAGTTTCTTACTTCCCCTGGATTAAACCAAAAGCAGAATTTGAATCTATACCCTTTACACCTAACCTCTCTGTCCAGTTGGTTTGAACTCACCTGCATATGGCAAGCATACATGAAGTGGGCATTCCATTAAAAACAGAAACAAAAAGGTGAAAGAATTCTGAAATCTTTCCATCATTATCATGCGGATGAAAGATTTGGAGCTGGAGTCCACTCTTCTGTCCTATATTAGTCTGAGGAATTAGGATGCTCGGCTCCTAACAGAATGTTTGGGTTGTGACTTGGAGCCACCAGTGTGAGGTCAGCTCATGTTGTCATAATGGGATTCCCTGATGGAGTAAAGCCAGCTGTGGGGAGACTAGCCGAAGGACGGAGCACGCCTAGAGTCAGGCAAGACTTGCCCGTACAGACAGGAAGGAGGCCAGGCCCTTGCCCTCAGTGAATATACAGATCAGTGAGAAGACAAAGAGAAGTCAATTACAATTCCATGTGCGAAGTGTATGAAGTGGGTACTTTGCAGGCAAAATGAATGGATTCTAAATGACGTTTCACGTCTCAACTGTCTGAATTTGACCAAGGTATGTAATCTTGCAGAGCTTCAGTTTCCTCATCTGTATGATGGGAGGAAGAAACAGTCTATACCTCATAGGATTACAAAATAATGCAACAGACAAAGTTGTGTTTTGTTTTTTTTAATGTTGGCTCTGAATAAATGCTATTTGTTATTATAGTATTAAATATCTGGGTCCACAATCAATAATATCAAGAAATCAAATGACATATTGCACTTGGCAAATCTGCTGCACAAGACCTCTGTAAATTGTTTGAGAGCAAAGATACCAGTTTGAGGACTAAGGCGTGCCTGACCCAAGCCATGGTATTTCCAGTCATCTCACATGCATGTGAAAGTAGACAATGAATAAGGAAGAACAGAGAACTGATGCATTTGAATTATGGTGTTAGAGACGAATAGGAAAAGTACCATGGAATGCCAGAAGAACAAACCAATTTGTGTTGAAAGAAGTCCAGCCAGAATGTTCCTTAGAAGCCAGGATGGTGAAACTTCATCTCTCATACTTTGGACAGGATACCAGGAGAAGGACATCATGCTTGGTAAAGTGGACGGTCAGTGAGAAAGAGGAAGACCTCCAATGAGAGGCACTGGCACAGTGGCAGCAGCAGTGGTGTCAAATGTAACAATTGTGAGGTTGGCACAGGACCAGGCAGTGTTTTGTATTGTTGTGCATAGGGTCACTGAGTTAGAACCAACTCGATGGCACCTAACAACAATAAGGTGTGTATAAAACTGTTTACAAGGAAGCATTGATACCAAATTGGTCACTTTTCAGCAGGGAATGGACACGTCATGTTTTGCAGATGCTCAGCCGTTAACTTTCTGATTCCAATTAAGCTTCTCACCTGACAGAAACAGAGCAAGCTCTCTGGGGCTCATTAAAACTCTCTTAACAAGCCTCTCTGGGACTCTAAAAAAAGTAGAGGGCATCACATTTCCATGTTTCCTAGCACTTATGTTAATTAGGACTAGTTATTCAACCTTCCTGTAATAGGCTGAGAAAACAGCTGCTTATTTGAGGGAAAGACACCAGAGAGAAAAATTACATCAAGTCATGGGAGAGATAAGTTTGGGGATAATTAAATTCTGAATATATTAGGAGGCATTAAAACTTTGAAATAGCAAAAACCCTACAAAGCAATTCTACTGTCCCACAGGATTGCTATGAGCTGAATGGGTTCCATAGCTATGGGTTTGGGTTTGGATCTGTCTTAGTTCTCTAGTGCTGTGGTAACAGAGATACTACAAGTAAATGCCTCTAACAAAGTTATTCTCTCAGTTTAGAAAGTCCCCCTAAGCTCTGCACGCCTGTTCAATTTCCTTCATATCTGAAAAGAGATTGACTCAAGATACAACCGAATCCTGTAGATGACATCATCATTAACATCATAGAAGTGAGAATGCACAACTTCTAGGATGATCACATCAGATCAAAGATGTTCGCATCCTGAGAGTGATTACATCATAATAAATCTCATCATGAAGGGTATTAGATTTTAACTACCAAACCTCTGAGAATCCTGGTTCAGTCAAATTGGTGTAAAACCTTAATTAGCTCTGGTAGCATAGTGGTTATGAATCGGGCTGTGAACCGCAAGGTCAGCGGTTCGAAATTACCAGCTGTTTCATGGGAGAAAGATGAGGCTTTCTGCTCCTGTAAAAATTTACAGCCTCGGAAACCCTGTACAGGGTCGCTATAGGTTGGAACCGACTCGACGGCACTTAACAATATCACAATTTCTTATATTTTAACCTAGCCAGCACACTGGAAGCAATATGAACCCAGAAGTCGAGAAGGAAGCAAATCTTGAAAAACAGTAAAACAGGCAACAAAAGCCAGTAGAGGAAATAAACAGTTATCCAAAGATCCAGGTAACAAAAATGTATAAAGCTCCAACTGCGTGTCAAGAGCCTTGTAAGTGCTTCAGATGTCAAAATCCTTGGGAATGTAGGTGACAAATCATTAACTTCCTTTTGGGCAGAAGTGATTTGAACATGGTTACAGAATCATTGATGTTAATTCTGGGTACGATCAAGTCAATTTTAACTCACAGCAAACCCATGTGTCAAAACCATAGGGTTTTCTAGGGTGTAATCTTTACACATTGTCAGGTTTTTCTTCATTGGAGTTTCTGGGTCGGGTTGAACTGCCAACCTTTTGGTTAGCAGCCAAGAGTTTATCCACTTAGTCATCAAGTCTCCAATACAATATCATTAGGACTTCTTTTACAAATGCATTTTTTTGTGGCGTTGCAAAGTTCCAAGCTGACGAAAGGTGTGCCCACATTGGGGACAGACGTAAGGCTTTGCTCCTGTGTGGATTCGTTGATGAACATTGAGGTTCCCCTTATGGCTGAAGCGTTTCCCACACACTGTGCAATGGTAAGGTCTCTCGTTTGTGTGGACCCTTTTGTGGCCATGCAGGGTGGACTCGTGGGTGAATTCTCTGTGACAGATGTCGCATTTGAATGGCTTCTCCCCTGTGTGGATTCGCTGGTGGACACGGACATCTGAGGGCTGTATGAAGCCTTTCCCACAAGAACTGCACTTAAAGGGCCTCTCTCCTGTGTGTGTCCTCTGGTGGATGTCAAACTGAGATTTATAAATAAACATTTTCTTGCAATATTTACATTGATAGGGTGAACGTCTTGTGGACTCTTGATCTTGAGCAATAGTATGGTCAGTTGGCCCCACAGTCCTTGGTGAATTGTGCTTAGTTGGTCTCAGACGCATCCGTAAATCATGGTCAGTTGGCCCCACAGTCCTTGGTG